GCCAAGCCCGTCTTTAAATGAGTCACCACCGCCGATTGTGTCGCCGGTCGAGCTGGACCGATGCGACCCAAAAGTATGCGTACGATGCACGCACGAAAACGCGGCTATAGCCTACAGGCGCCGGGATGGTACAAAACTCTTACGGTACTACCACCGTCCCGCCTCTCGGAGGCTTTCCCGTGCGAATCAACACCCCATGAGTCGCAGCCCAAGCCTCCTTCCGCCGCAAGTCACCCGCTACACTGCATCAACCGCCTATTATGGAGACCACGGCCTCTGTCGGCGCCGAGCATTCGGACAAGGCGAGAGAGAGGGAGAGAGAGGATTCGCCCGGTGCGGGTGCCACCTTAGCGCTAATCAACACCACTAGCATCGCCGCACTGTCAGACATGTCTCTCCCCGACTTTTCTAGTCTGATGTGCAACGCTTGACATGCAAGTGTCACGAGAGCTCGCCAAGGTTCCCTGATTGCGCCCATGGACAAAATGTCCGTCCGTCTCACTCAGATGCATGCGCCTCTACTGACGTGCCGCGCGTGACGCCGCGTGTGCCCGTCGCTAGCAAGCACATGGCCCCAAACACACAGACACACACACACCCAGCCCGCTGGGTGATCATCGGTCCCAAGTGTTGCGATACGAAACATGGACGCGAAATCCAACTCTGAAGCATCCGTCGCATGTTGCAGCATGCACCCTGCGCTCTCGGTCCGAAGCAGATGCGTTGCATCTCCTTTCATCCACCTGGATGAACGACGTCAGTTTCCTCTCTTGTGGACCAGAATCCGAGCCATGACCCGGCCTTGGTGCGTTTCCGGACGACCCTTCATCGTTCGAACTCGGCCAGGGTCAGCTCTGCCCATGGCAATTGGCCTGTTGCCTATTCTGGATGATGTTTCCATCGCCAGGCATTGTGTTGAGTATTGGGCATGATGCTTATACTGTGTTTTCCAACTGTGTCACCATGATTGGTACACCTGTGCGACCTAGAGGGACCGCGTTTTATATCTTGGTTTCCATCACCGGGCTGCTCTGCCTCCCAGGTGACGCTTACATGCACTTTCAATATGCTTCAGTAGCGCGATATCCCTGTGTGATATGGAAAACGGTGTGAACTAGGTACGCGCTTACCTCTGCGGGTGTGGGCGACGGATTGAGAGTGAGGGCCTCTGGTCGGGGCCAAGTCTAGTCTTACTCGCTCAAGGGGGGACGAGGGAGTGGGTGATCTATGCCTCCCGTCGTAAAACGTCGTCATCAATCCGAAAAAAGCAATTCCGCCCTCTGGAAGCTAACTCTCGGTCTCGTCCCAACATCCAGCACGCACCATGCCCGCCGCCATGGTTACCGGACGCTGTGCGACCTTGAAAAAACAAAGAAAAAAAAGGAGAGAGAAAACAGCAACCTTTATGCCAATGAGTGACGGCCAGGCTGATTATGAAACTCTCTTGTGCCGCCCGAAAAAGCAACCTCGGCAGTTATCTGATCAGATACATGCGTGGCCTGGCGATCTGGCCACGCGAGCATGTACCAAACGATTTACTGACGCATTACTACCAGGCAGCTCATGCCTCTCACCCTCACTCCTAGGAAACAAAGGGCTTAGGTGGTAAGAAAATATCTTGAAATTGGCTTCTGCGTCTCCTAGTTTGAAAAGAATAGCATAGTAGACTTTTTTTAGGTCACGCAGCTGAATATTTGCTGCAAGGATATAGAAAATCGGTAGTTTACTAGGCTAAGACCCGGACACAGCAGCTTACCTAACGACACAGTCCCATTACCTATCGCTTAAAGCTTTCCTTTCTCCATCTGGATCAGCCCTCCCCGCTTGCTGCCATCCTATTCCGCTGCAGGCCGGTAGTATATCGCAAGGAGCTCTCTCATGCTGCTGTGGAAGCTCGAGCTCACTGCTTTGGCGTTTTTCGGCCGGTCCCTGTTAATGCATTAAAAACCCGCCCCGAAGAATGACCTCGGGAAACCACGGCGTGGAGAGCATCTCGGCTCAAGACAATTCCTCAAAAGCCTCGAGGCTTCCGTATGTCTCATCGACTTCCCAGCGCAGTAAGCGTCTATCGCGGTCTGTACCTCATCATAGACTTCAAAAAACGCAGCTTTAGCGTCGGCGTCGCCCATTCAGGCCACTCACCAATGTGTTCCCATGCAAAGGCAAAGACACTTCTTGTCAACAGGTCCGGTCGCGGGAGATACAGCCCACCATATAGAATTCCAGCCCTTTCTCAACCAGGTCAAACAGCGGGGTGTCACGCGAGTGAATGGTGCTCAGTAGACGGTTATCGTACTCGACTTGGCAACCTGCTCAATCCTGTTTTCGAACATGATGCACACAACCACCCCGTGGTCATCGTGTTGAACAACCCATCTCTCGAGATCCTCGTTGAGGTAGTTGCAATCACATCTTTAGGAGAAAGAGCCCGAGACGCTCAACCCCAAGTGAAAGCGCCCGCTGCACTACTAAGCTACTATTTCTGTCTTCTTTTCACTCGAGCTGTTGTTGCCGTCTTTTGTCAATCACCTAGTCACTTGTACTATCCTCACCCACTTACACTCTTGTTCCTCCAACTCTCACCCCAGGCAGGTCAAGCAACAACTCTAGCCAGCGAGATGAATACGCCCTCAAGCGTGCAGTGGACGTAGAAGCCTTAGTCTAATTCCCTTGGATGCCTTTTCTGAGCGAATTGTCTGCAAGTATTCAGCTCAATCAACAACTCATACATGCCGGTGCTTTCCCATTTGCCCTGGAACGTCTCACATTTGCCTGGCTTTAAGTCACTACTCCTTCTAGTTTCTAGTCATCCGTCTACGCACCGCATCAGCCAGCTTTTTGCACAATTCCGTCACCCGTTTTGTCTGGCACTCTGGACAGGGGACCATCCACCAAACCACCATCGAACAAGCCAAAGTAAGAACTGGAGACGTGGGAGGGGGGGGGGGGGGCATTGATAACTAGACACGTCCAAGAAAAAGAGTGGGATGACAACGATTTAGAATACTGTGGTGGTGGTGGTCACTACAGCTCTCTAACAACTCTCTCGCGGGATACGTCGTCGCGCGCCATGCGGGCGAGAGAAGAAAGAGACTCGTGCCTGTGATGTCCTCGGGGTTCGTCGCATGTGGAGGTAGGTGATGCAGCTGCGGCGGTGGCGGGTTGCCGGGAGGATGCGGCTGACCTGGAGACGATGGTATTATACAACAGTCTCATGGAAAGGAAGTGTCAGTTCGATGTATCGAGCCTCGAGAGAGCGATAGATTAGCCCTAGCCTGCTAGAAGAATAGGGAACCGGCATAGAAAACCTAGGGGGCAGTGGGCTTTGCTGTTGTTGTCTGTGGGGGGAAAAGCTGAAGAAAGGAGGCCTTCGAGCGCCGGGTAACGCGACCACGTCCATACGCAAGCTGCTGTATCCCGACCTTGCACGGGTTCAGCATGACTATAGCGGACCACTGATTATGTATGTCTTTGTAACGAATAATCGGCTATTTGGACGCTTGGCCTGGACGTCTATTATGTCACTCTTTTCAAACTGGCAGACGCGGCAGTCAATCTTGAGAGATTTCTGTCTGACCTTGGCACTTTGCTTCCGAGGATCAAGGCAAGAAATACAAGCCGACTGCTAGTGATCCCGCTAGTAAGTAGTTAGGTAAGAGGAAACCAAACATGTAGTAGATTCGGCTAAACCAGACGGGGCTCATGATGAAGTAGAGCTCGACGAAGATGGTGCCAAAAGCCAGGAGGCCAACAATGAGCATGCTAGGGATCGGCTCGAGGTACGTTGTGGAGGGGGCAACCTGGCGGGGGATCCCTCGCCCAAGCAGGTCGAGGGACTACAGCCATCGAGGGGAATACGCCCTCAAGCGTGCAGTGAGCGTGAAAGCTTTGCTCTTGTTTCCTTGGACGCCTTTCTAGACGAAGGTGTTGACAGGATAACGAGCGCTTACATCTCACTATTACATGAACTAGGCAAGCTCGAAATACGGTTGATTACGGGATTGATATCACCAGGGTACGGGAGCTGGCAGAATTTCAGCCTTCCAAGTCAAAAGACGCCTACCAGGCCGACCCCGTTCGAGGTTTTATATCACTATTACGATCTTTCTTCGCTTCCCAAGCTAGTTGCCAGACCATCGGCTGTACCCCTTCAACAGGACGAGTCCAGTGGATAGACGCCAAGAAAGTCCCTCCGAGCTGTTGGAAGTCACCCTGTTGTCTCTCAATGGAACGACGCCGAGGCGAGTTCTCTTCGATCCGACAAAATCCGGGTACAATTGAAAATGTTATCGAATTCGAGTTCCATATTATGTACTGGCTATTAGAAAGACAAAAGAAAGCCTCACATCGTCATACTGACATATCATCCTCTTGACAGCCGCCTTTTGTGCCCCGACTCGTTCCGTCTTTGCGTCACGAAATGAGGAGGCAAGAGAACGTGAAAATCATTGCGAACAGGTCGAGTGAGGCTGCCTCTGGCCTCGTGGTATTTGTCTCGAGGCTCCTCTTCCCCCCCAAAGATAGACTTCTTATCAGCCACCTCACTGAACCCACGGCGACCACCGAGGAGCAACCCCTCAGCCAGGTCGTATCACGGGGCCCGCGAAAACGTCCTTTGCCTTGCGGTTAAATCGGCTGCTGTGCTGAGTTGGAAACCACCTAAATTTTTCCAAACAAGCTGCTGTTGCTTGTCTGGTGAGCTGGGAGCTGGCAAGCCCCCCCTCTCAAGTCTGGAGGGCCATTGTCTTCACAAGCACTGGAGTCCTGGAAAGACGTTTTATAAAGACTATGTCAAGTATCTCAAGGTTATCCCTAAGTTAATAAGTTATAAAAAGGGATAAAGTGTTGGTCAGTTGAGAGTTGTCCAGTCCATTGTCGAGTTCTGGTTATCACGGTCTCGCAATGAAAGAAGACCGCAACGGTGGCGGAGTGTTTGCTTCATAGAGGACTAACGGCACTCTGAACTTCAACAACATCCAGCAACGGATGAAGAGCGAAATGGCCGGTTGGCCCAATGGCAAGGCGTCTGACTACGATCACGTAGGGTATCAGGAGATTCTGGGTTCGACCCCCAGGCTGGTCAATCTTTTGAAAAAAATTCTTTATCGACCTATTTAGTGTGTAATTTTTTGCGGATGCGGGCCCGAAAATGGGTCTCCGGGGCCAGGGCTTCGTATCCGGACCGGGATTGGCTGTCAACGGACGAAAGTTACAGAAAGACACCCGTATTAGCTTGTCACTTGATTTAGACAATCAAATCAGGACCTGTGTCTGCGAATCAAGTCAAGTCCATGTTCCTTGGGTTATTTTCTCAATCATATATAACTGCTTTCGGTCGCTTGCCGGGCCGGGCCGGCGCCCATCGGCCCAATGTTCCGCTTGGCCCCGAGCCTTAACTCCGACGGGTACGTACCTCCACCATGAACTCGGCCTCACTTGCAAAATATTTCCCCGTTTACTCACGAACAACACCAAGCCATCATGTCCACCCCCGGGCCAACGACACGGGCACCGCTTTCTGATGCTCTGACACTCATCCTCACAACATCGCCAACGCCATCGACCCCCTCCACTGAGCTTCTAGACGCAGTATTCCAATCTATCAGCCTCTGCTGCGGCGATCTGCTGGCCTGTCGCATTATCGTTGTCCTCGACACTTTTGAGCGCGTTGGCGAGGTCGCCAGGTTGAAGAAAGGCCAAGTCACAGAAGAAGGAGCGGCGGCATATTCCAGATACAAGGAGAACGTCAAAGACCTGGTGTTGGGAGTATATGACCAACCCGACGGCAAGGATGAGTTGCTCCATGAGCAAGGAGAAGCCGAATACGGCTACAGCGGCCGAGCGGCTTCCGTCACGACAAACTTTGCACCGTACACCGTGAGTCGGACGAAAGACGGCCGGGTTTCCTTCGTCGAGCCATCGGAGAGGTTGGGGTTCGGGTTGGCTGTGCGGACGGCTCTGAGGATAACAACGACGCCTTACGTTTGGATCCACCAGCACGACTGGACACTCGTCCACGACATCCCTGTGGCGCCCATGCTGGATGTCATGGATACCAACGACGCAGATGAAGAGGGCCCCGTGAAGTACATCTGCATGCCGTCAGTCCGGATGCTGCAATATGCCGAGTCCGCCCATGTTCAAGAGTTTCCGCATTTGCGGGCTTTGACGACCAAGCTGAAGCGTGACTTCGTTCCGCAGTCGCATCCGACGACCAAGGTACCGCTCACGCCCATGTTCTTTTGGCATGACAAACCACACATCGCGTCCACGCAGCACTATTTATCCAGGGTGTTCCCGACACGATTGGCGATACCGAGAGGCGCCTTCATCGAGGACACGATCGGACACCGCGCGAGGACTCAGATGAAGGAACAGGGGATGTGGTCTCGATGGGGCTGTTGGCTGTTCTACCCCGGTCAAGGGAAGCAGCTGTGCCTTAGACATCTAGACGGGCGACGATGGAGAGGTACGGAGGCAGAGATGACACTTCGAGAGACATATAGACAGGCGAATAGAGAAACTCACATAAAAGACACTGATTAAACTGAAATTGATATTGAGTATGTTACAGAATGCCGCCAAAGGATTTGTGTGTAGAGACTCCCGTAAGCCAATCATGCGTGAGAAAAAGAGCTTCGCGTAATGGCACATTATTGTACGGACCCCGTGTTCAAAGCTCTCTTGAGGCTTACCCAGCAACGCTGCTTTGAGGGTGAGACAGTAGGTGAGCGAGGGTAAACTAGGGTGAAAACTGCCTCCTAATGGATGGGTAGGTAGGCAGTCGGGTTGACCGGGATATTGCCTGAAGCAGGTAGATACGTCAATATACCAAACTGATTACGTCGCAATACCCGCACTCGTGTTTCGGACTGTTTTTCATTTCGCTCGTGGCATATCCTGATACTTTCTACCCTTGTCCACCAGTTTTCCATCCCATCAGACTATCTGCATCGTCGAGACGTTTATAGTACCTGTTATCCAGAGATGTCCTCTTGACCTCTATGGTCTGGATCAGAATTTGTCAGTAGGGCAGATACCTGGGTGTCTCTATTGTATTGTTCTACAAAAAGCTCCATATTATGTGAGGTATCGGGTATG